TTCTAGCCCAGCTTCACCCAGAAAACCAGGTGCAGCCCCTCCTCCCTCCTCACATCCCCATTCCCTCCTGAGCCCCACCAGGGACAGTTTCACACCAGTGGCTGATGGGGTGCTCTGTGGAGGGGCAGCTGGTTCCCATCACCCTCATCTCTCTTGCTGCAGTTGGCACCTCTGCTTGGCTGGCACCAGGTTCCATCACCCTTGGACAAGGTACAGGCAGTGTGAAACCCTTGGAGACAAAGGACATGCACGTTCGGTATCTGGGAGATCCCTCTGGCATCATTTTTGCTTCCCCTGGCAGGGCTCAGCTCCCAAAGGCAGTGCTGTCCCCTCCTCTGCAGGGGTTTGGGTGACCCCTCCTTTCCTTGCTCCATGCTGAATCCCAGAAACACAGAGTTGCCTGGATGGACAGGACCTGGGGGGCCTCTGCCCTGGTCCTTGTTTGGACCAGGTTACTCAGGGCCTTACCCCCTTGGCTCTCACAAACCTCCACGGACAGAGGTGCCACAGACTGTCCTCCCTGCTCCACTCCCAGCGGGAGGGTTCTCCCCACATCCAGCCCAAGCCCCTCCATCAGCAGCTGGAAGGGCAGCAGGACCACAGAGTCCAACCTCTGCCTGCCTCATCCAGAGCTCTGGCACAGAACATTGAGTACAAAAGCCTGTCCATCTCCCTGATGTTCCGGGAAGGTTCAGCCCCAACAGCAAATTACCCACGTCTGTCCCCTGAGTCAGCGACAGGACATCAGGCCAGGCACAGATTAGATTCCACCCATTTCAAAATTCAGTAGGGTTTTAGGACTTTAAGGGAAGAACACTCCTAAATAATGAAGATGAATAATAGACCACTTTGAAAGGATGAGTGTTTAAGAGCTGTGTAATTAGTGCCCCTCAGCAGTGTGAGCACAGATGTGGTGGTGCATATTGCACCCTGAAATGATTCCAGAGGACTGTATCATTTCCAGTATAACTGGAAAAAGGGATTGCTGTGCCATTAAGCAGATGACAACAGTGTGGTGACGCCCTCCTTATGTCACCCAACTTTTCTTGACTGGTCGCCAGGGAAGGTCTCTTTTAGGAGACTTGACAATATGATCCAGTGGCATGTGTCAGTTGACTTCTGATCCTGTGTGCACAAGGGAATTTATGGAAAAACATTACGGGAAACCATGGTACCTTAAAGGGTGGCCCACAGTCAAAGCTGAAGGGTTTTTCCCACTGTCCTCAAAAGTCCCCACGTGTCTCTGCCATGTCTCTGTCCACATGTCTCACCAGCCTCTGTCTGGGCAGGTCCTTGGCAGCCCCAGAGACTCGGACAGCAGAGAGCTCCTGACCCAGACCCCGAGCCCACCGTCACACAGTGGGACTGCTCCAAGGAAGGCACCTTGTGGATGTCTGCAGCTTCCTTGTGCTGTTGGCAAGGTCAGTGCCAGGTCTCCCAGGATGTGCTCTCAGGCTGAGCAGGATGTGCCCAGCTGAGCAGCTTTCCCACCCCCTGAGCCTCCTCAGTGCCCTGCAGGGAGCTCGCCTTTCATTGGGGTCTCTGCTGCCATCTCTGTTTTTCAGATTCCATGAAAATGCCTCTGGAGATCCCAGCTTGCAGCAAACACAGCTCCCACGCAACCACATTCCCTGCCCAGTTGGGAACATCCCAGAGGAACCAACTCCATGCTGCCCCAGGACCCAGCAGTCCTGAACATCTGGAATGTCCTGCCTGTAAGTGCTTCTCTGGTCTCATAGTTTTCAGGCGATAAAAAGCAAACAGAAAACCCCCAAAAATCAACCAAAAACCAAATGAAAAAGACCAAGGAAGTTGTCAGCAGTGTCTGCCAATATTGAGCGACATTTGCATCAGACATGGAAAGGGATATTCACATCTCCACTACAAATCCAGTCCTATATGGAGCTCCTGCTTCCCAGGGTGATCCTCCTTGGGATGCTCTGGGATCTGTCTCTGAACAGAAAGTTTTTCTTCAATTAGTTTTCCCCTACTAAAAAAAGAAGAAAAAAACCAACCAACCAAACAAAAAAAACCAGAACTAGACCATGATAAATCTGTGTATTTCCATGAAAACAAGGTTTAGTTTGAAGATTCCCAACTAGCTTTCCCTGGTGCCTTGCAGGATGGCAAGGGCCAAGTGCCCACTGCAGTGAGGAATGCTGGTGGGCTGGAATGTCCAGGCTTTTCTGCCTGAGGATGCCCTGGAATAGCACAAGACACACCATCCTTTGGTCATCCCACAGACCCCAAGAGCAGCGGGCCATCCCATCGGCCTCTCCTGGACCCCTGACTGGCCACCAGCTCCCCAGTGCCTAGAGACACATTTCCTGACCTTTGTCAACCTCCTGAGAGAAGCAATTCCAAATATTAACCCGCTCGCTCCCTGCAGTGGGTCACTGACCCCGAGCGGGGCCAGGCCCATGGGGACACTCACGAGGAAGCCCCCGACGCTTCCCAGGGGGAGAGGAGCCCACCCACAGCCCCGGCTGGCACAGCACCCACCAGGTGCTAAGGGAGGGCTGCTTCTGGGCCGGAATTCCCTTCAGTTTTACAACTGAGATGATTTGCACAATTCTTCACTAAGCATCCAAGTTCTCAGTCTTATAACAAGTCACTTTTTCTTGTTGTTATGATGATATTCCTCTAAACCTTTTATGAATGGAACACTACTAAAGCCACCCTGGGAAGTGCAGCTCTGGTCCGCCAAGAGGAACACTCCTGGCACCATCCAGCTGGCTCACTCTACTCCACAGACCTCCCAGGTCTGTTTCCCAAATCTGATTCACAGCTTCATAGGATTTTGCCCCATGAAAGCTGGATTTCCAACTAACACCAAGCTGACAGGTGGAACTTACCTTGACAATTAATTAAAGGGTACAGAAAGGAACCAGCAAGAGGAAAGCAGCTCTGCTCTGTTCATGGAAGCCTGAAATTGGAGCCACTGAATGAGGGGAATAACATGATATTCATGTGGAATGAAATCCTGAGCATAGACGTGCTCTGTGCAGCCAGAGCTCGGAGCATGTTGGTGTAACAAAGGTTTTGGCAGCAGCACAGACAAAGGCAGGATGTCAGAAGGAATCTGCAGCCCCAGCCATTCCCATACCTCACACATCAGGGTCACGGATTCGTCCTGCCTGGCTGTTCCACAGACCTCATGTCACCTGCTTGCTCTGAGTAAAGTCCTGACCTTCAGCATGGGAGTCACTCCAGACTGCAGTGAGGAAGGGGATGGGTCTGTGGACTCAATGTCCACTGAAAATTTTATTGAAAAGTGATTTATTGGGGCTCATCCTCTTCCAAAATTCAAACCCCAGTTGCACTGCACAGCAAGGCAAGGGAAGAGCAATAGGTGCTGTTACTATAATCCACAGGAAATCCAGGCTGTGTGCAGAGCCAGAAGGATCCCTGATCAGGCTTCGTGGGAACGAGAGTGATGAGTCCAAGCCCTGATCAAATCCCATGGTTTTCCCCCAGAAGTCTCCACTCAGTGTGGCATTCCGTGCTCTGGATGAACCATGATGGTCTGTCCCAGGGTCTGTGGGGCCAGACCAGCACTGAATTTTTCACACAGGCACAAGCACTGGGTGCCAAGCTTGGGGTCCCCTTGCCGACGCCCCAGGGTGAATTCTTGCTCTGCAGCATCAGAGGAGACCTGACAGGTGAGGCTCCTGGCTCAGCTCAGCCTCTCCTTCATGGGCTGCCATGTCCTGGTTGTTGCCTCTGCTGGTACAGACAAGCCATGGGCAAGTTGCTCAGGCAGCTGCCTGGGCTGAAGTCCTTCATTGGCATGGCAGGACAGGGGCCATTGGTGGGACCAGCCCCCCCAGGGAGCAGTGGGGCCGGGGGAGCCCCATCCAGGCAGCCCCAGCTCCTGGCACAGCCCCTGGGAGGCCAGTCCAGCCAACAAGACACACTCTGTGTAGCTGTGATCTGTTTTCCTGAAGTTGTGTTAAGCCTGGCTGATTCACTGTGGTTCTGAGGAGGCTCTAATTATATCTGTGAGCCAGATGGGATGCTGACAAGGGAGAAAAGAAAAAGCAAAAAACCAAAAACACCCTTAGTCTTGTTTGAGGAGCAAGACGAGACAGGGAGAGCTGCTGCCACACCAGGCTGGCAGTGTGGCTGGAGGGGCTGGGGCAGCATGAGAGAGGACAGTCCCATGCCAGTCCCCAGCTGTCCCCTTGCCCCAGACTGTCCCCTTAGGGCTGATATTGCACCAGAGCTCCTGGCACACCGTGCTCGGTGCTTTGCCTGTTCCCTGGCACTCCTGGCACATAGTGCTGGAGCAGCCCGTGGTGCCATCACCCAGCACAGCCCAGGCTCCCCAGCTGGTGCAGAGGAGGGGGGCTCTGCGGGGCAGCACCTGGTGCCCCAGGGCTTTCCCTCAGGGGCAGATGGGGCTCCCTCTCTGCCCAAAGCCTGTGCCATCACCCAGCACCAAGGGGCAATGCTGGGCAGCTCTCCTGCAGCATCAGTGCCCAAACCAGATGGTCATGCCGGGCCAGTGGCACCAGCAGCCATGAGCTGGGGCTGGGGCAGGGCACAGCTCACTGCTCCCACTCAGACACACAGGGACCCCCCACCATTGCCCACTGCAGTGCCCAGCCCCATCCCACCCAGCACAGCCGGGTGACAGACCCCTCTCTGGATCAACCAACCTGCCAGGCACAAGCCCCTGGATCAACCAACATGCCCACGCCGTTGTAGTAAAACATTTATTGTTCAGGTGATAGAAGCTACTGTGTTTACAGCTCGTGACCTCACCACTGGCAACATGGAACATGACCTGGGACTGCAGCTGTTGCCACCAGATTGTTTGTCAGAATTTTTAGTTATAAAAACCTTGGACACCAGAAAAAAAGGTAATTTAGAGTGGCAGATGGGAGATGGGCAACCTGTGAGGGGGGAAGACAGTTTCATCGAGGCAGCCGACCTCGCTGTGGCCTCGGCTGCAGCTTCAAGTAAAGGTTTCGGTGGGGTGAGTGCGGTGTGACACGTCAATCCTTGGAGAGTTGGAACCGGATTGTTTTCTGCCGAGTAAGAACGTCGGTGGCAACGTTTTCAGGGAGTGGAGAAGGGCTGGTGTCCTGCGGAGAGGCCCCGGCTTCTGCGCAAAGAAACAGAACAGACACAGTGAGGGGACAAGGGGCAGGACCAGCCCTTCCTGCGGCCGAAGCCGTGCTGATGTGGGACCACACTGACAGTCCTGGGAGCTGCTGAGGGGCAACCCAGGCACAGCACCACTGACAGCCCTCGGAGCTGCCACGGGGCCGGTCTGGACACGGCACCCACTGATGGTCCCAGGAGATGCTGCATGGCCAGCTCAAGCATGGCCTCACACCAAGGGGCCCAGGAGCTGCTGCTCCGGGGCCAGCCCGGGCAGGGAGCAGCAGCAGAGCCTGCCCTCGGCCCCAGCACCCACTGCGTTGGTGCCACCAGCACCACGGGGGCCAGGGCACAGCAGGGCAGTGTGGTGACTAACGGGAGACTGGGCTAATGGGAGACAGGGCTAAAGGGAGTCAGGGCTAATGGGAGAAGGAGCTAATGGGAGACTGAGCTGATGGGAGACAGGGATAATGGTACCAGGGTCCCCAGCCCCTGGCTCAGCCAACAGCTTCAGCACCGACAAGGAGTGCTGGCACAGCACTGCTGCTGCTGCTGCAGCAGGGAAAACCCAACTAACAAAACAACCCCCAAAACCCCTAACAGAACCAGCAAAGCTCATTGTTCCAGAACCGGAGACTTCTCCAGTTTCTAGATTTGCTCCTGCTCTTGCCAAGGCCAAGGCTTTGCCCCCGGCAGGGACCCCGACCCCGCACAGTGCCAGGGATTCCCACATTGCTGAGGATGCCAGAGCGGAGCAGAAGGTGGGCACGGACACAGCACTCGCCTTCCCAAGGTTTGCATGCATGAGGAAAGTCACTGCAGCGAGGACATGCCATGTGTCACTGTCCTGCCCCGAGCCCCCACATCGACCCACGGCACAGGGAGAGCCCTCGGGGCAGCTGTGCCACCGCCTGGCCTGGTCCTGCTGCCCCGGCACGGCTCCACTTACCTCGGGAGTGCAGAGCTGCCGCTGCCAACACAAACCAGGCACCACGGTTAAACTCATCCTTGGTTTGCTGCGGGTTACAGCCCCCCGACTACAGACTGGCCACGGGGAACCTGGGCTCAGGTCGGGCAGAGGTCCCTGCATGCCCACCGAGGGGTCTGGGCCCCTACCCCAACTGGTTCTCTGCATTCCCTCTCCCAAAGGGAATTTCCCCTCCAGAGGAGATGGCACGGCTTGGCGGGTGCCTCCAGAGCAGCAAACTGGCAGTGCAGAAGGAAAACCAGCTCAGACCCAGCCAGGCACACCAGCCTGGGCTAATCTTCCAGATTCCTGACTCGGATGCTTAAAAAGTTCAGTGCTTGAAACGACCTGAGGCAACACAGCACCACAAAACCAGGAGCTTATTCTGTCCATTTTCATACAGACACAGTTCCCAACGTGGGGTCTGCAGCCAGCCATGTGCCATGTTTGCTCTTTTCCTTTTGAGTTTCCTTCCTTCTCAGCCAAGCTTCTCTCTCCAGCAGCAGCCTTCACACCAGCTCTTGTGAATAAATCCATTGTATGAAAAGTCCACAGTCAGCAAGACCAGTAAACTTCACCTTTTGCTGGGCTCATGTTACTGGTGCGGGGTGTAGGTGCTGTAACCGGCACCACAGCCACCCCATGCACCAGGACTCCTGTCCCACGGGGTCTGTGCTGCTGCGACAGCCAAATCCCAGCCACACTCCAGATCCCAGCCACACTCCAGATCCCAGCCACACTCCAGACCTCAGCCACACTCCAGATCCCAGCCACACTCCAGATCCCAGCCACACTCCAGATCCCAGCCACACTCCAGACCTCAGCCGCAATCCAGACCCCAGGCACTCTCCAGACCAGTGACAGCCAGCACAGGGCACGGGTGTTCCTGCTCAGAGCCGGCTTCCCTGGCACTCAGTGCTGCTGTGTCCCTGCCCACAGCCGGCACTGCTGCCGTGCAGGTGAGGTGCTGCCAGC